AAAAAGAACCAAACGGCTAGTACTTCCTGAGAACCGCCGTAGACAGAAACGGATCGGAAGATTACAGCAGGAGCAGCCATGCCGAAGGTGCTTCCAGACAAGCCGCAGCTGTTTTCTTATTGACCCTAATATCCAACAGTGTGAGGGATGTCAAAAGTCAAACCTACGGTGTAACTGGAGCCTGGACGGTGCAAGGAGATCAACCGCCCGTCAAGAAAAGAGAGAAGCTGAGCGACAGGCAAGATATGAAAAACTTGGATTCGTCCCAGTGCCTCGTGACCAGAAATGCTCCAGATGCGCCGCGAAAATCATGGCTTGCGATGGAAAAATCCCGTGCAACAGGTGCAACACTCTACTCCAGCGTCTATCGTGTCGACCACAGGGCGTTGACGATTTGCCTCCATGCGATCAATGCAGTTACCGAACTCAGATTGGAAGTGGGAAAAAGTGTGACCGTGGACGACCCTGTAAGGCGTGCATCAACAGAAAGTCAACATGCAGTTACAGAGCCCAGAACGGTCTGCTGACGAGACTCTACCACGTACCCGACTCACCGCTCCCGATTGGCTTCTCTTCAATAGGCCCATTGGGAGAAGGAGAGTCGTCCGACGAAGAATGCATACGCTGCCGAAAGGGCAAATTGAATTGTGACGGAGAGCAACCCTGTTACCCATGTGTCAAAGCACAACCTAGTCCCCACGTCGCTAATTGCAACTACCGACGCTCTGACGGGACATACGAATCATGGGCGATTCGCCCATTTGAGTTGAAACCCCTGGGCGGGCCAAAGCTTCGGGAGGATTACGAAAAGCACACCGGTCGAAGGAAGTCTAGGAGAGAAACATCCGAGACCGGCCAACAGGAGAAGAATGAACTTGCCCCATATGCAACGCAAGAGATTATCGACACCGACCTCGATGACAACAACGTCAGTACTGATCAACAGGTGGCCAAGAATAGCCACAAAAGTTTCAAGTTCGGGCTGTCTGCATACAGTGAACGTACTCCACATGCTCTCCAATTAAAACCGCACAACACTTCCAGTGCAAAGTATCATCAGGCTAAGATAGAAGAGCTGAAATCTCATGAAGAAAAAGGCACATGGAAGATCGTTCCTCTCAGGAAAGGGATCAAACCGATTACCTCACGATGGGTCACCACCGACAAATACGGACCAGACGGTATGGTCACAAGACATAAGGCTCGGCTGGTAGCCAGAGGTTTTCAACAGGAAGAGGGTCTTGATTTTGAGGAAACGTTTGCGTCCGTGGTCAAGCCCGCTTCAACCCGCATCTTGCTTGCATTGGCGGCTATTCTTCATTGGCATATTCACCAAGCAGATGTCAAAACAGCATTCCTGAACAGCACCTTGGACAAACCAGTCTACATGAAGGCCCCGAGAGATGTACAGTTGCCCGGTGGGTACTGCTTGCTTCTCATCAAGGCACTCTATGGACTGAAGCAATCACCTCGTGCGTGGTACGAAAAGCTCCGGGACACTCTGATTGGTTGGGGCTGGCGCATGTCCGCTTACGACCCATGTGTTTTTATCAACGACAAGTTCGGGCTCTTGCTGGAAGTTCATGTGGACGACATAAACGTCATGGGCAGAAGCCTTCAGGCAATTCTTGATTTCAAAGTTCAATTCGCAAAGCAATTTCCGATTTCCGACGAGGGCGAATGCTCCTGGTATTTGGGCATGCACATAGAGCAGAAGCCTGGGCAAATCCACGTCCATCAAAAGCAATACATCGACCAAATCGTCAAAAAATATGGATTCGGAGACGCTGCCCCAGTTAAGACGCCTCTGGACAAAAATGTCAAGCTCGCGAAGCAAGACGGCTACATCGCAGACTCGAAATTTCGCAAAGGATATCAGTCGAAGGTCGGATCGCTCAATTTTGGCAGCAATCAGACACGGCCAGATATTGCCTTCGCTACAGGTTACGTAGCTCGGTACGCGTCCAATCCAAATCAAGCTCACATGGACGCCGTGGATCGCATCTTCGCCTACCTGAAAGGTGATCCGGCGAAGGGAATTGTCTATTCGGACAAACACGGTCTTCGGGTGATGGGTTTTGTGGATAGCGACTTTGCGGGGTGTGAGGACTCGCGTAAGTCAACGACTGGGTGGGTTTTCACGCTCGCCGGAGGCCCTATATCTTGGTCGTCTCAAAGACAAAAGACTGTGGCCACGTCCACTATGGATGCAGAATATATTGCGTCCGCTGAAGCTGCGAAGGAAGCAGTGTGGATTCGCAACTTCATTAATGACCTTCGCATTCCCGGGGTATATGTCAACGCAATCCCACTGTACATCGACTGCAACTCGGCCTTGAAGCTTACAAGAAACCCGGAATTCCACAACAAGTCCAAACACATCGACGTAAAACACCACTTCGTGCGTGAAAAGGTGGAGGAGGGGCTAATCAACACCCAGCGCGTCAATACAAAGGACAATCTGGCGGATGTCTTCACCAAAGCTTTGCCCAGGGCTACCCATGAGGACCTGGTTAACCGTCTGAACCTCCAGTCAGGGGGAGGTTCTTCGGATTTACCCAAAGAAGGAAAGGTGAAGAATGACTTGGATTCTGGGATCTTTTCAGGTGCCTCGGCCCCTCCGGGTCCTTGGCACAGGGGGAGAGTTGGATCCCAGGTCAGGTCACGTGACATATAGATATTATCATATTGGAGTGGCAGCCTATCAGGCTGCCACTACCACTCTAGGCAGAAGGTAGCTACTGTGACTACAAATAGCTGCGCTTACTCGCATAGCTAGAGAATGATTAACACACTGGTACCTCAATTCAGGGTCTCAACTCGCGAGGGGTCAGCGTAAATGAAATCATCCATCCATCCATCCGACTGTAGCTGTTGAGATATGTGATTGTCTGATTGAATCTTATTGATTGACTTGAGGAGTGATCTATTACAGGGGCCAGATGCCTCTTATATATCTGTTCCCAATCCCTGCCATAAGGTTCAGCCACCGTGATACTCAACAGTAGCAAAAATTCCTGGTGATTCAATTCTCGGCACGTCCCGATACATTCGTTCACCGGGGAACACAATGACTGATGAGGTTCCCCAATCTTCAGTGCCACAAATATCAGTCTCATCCTTGTGATGGATCATCAAGTATTGACCATCAGCGCCTGTAAGCATGACATTCGGTCTGAATCCCTTGAAATTGCGTTTGGAGGGGGTAGGCATTTGATTATGAAGCACGCGCTTATACGCAATCAGCCGTTGGTGAAGAATCTTGATGCTGAAGCAGCTGGCCCTAAATGAGCGACAAACAGTCGACACGGTGACCAAGGTGGGCGGGTCTGCATAGTGAAAGCACAATTCTCTCAGGTCAGAATTGCTAAAGAAAATATGGGATACTGGACTGAGGACGAGCTGGACAGCCTTCAAACATAGCTTTGAGACTTCTAGCCTGCTGTTTTGAACAATGTGCGCGATCACTCCGGTTGACGTGGGTTTTTGGTGGCAGAAAGGGAAGAGGGTATCACGAGTTAAGGTACGGTAAAGGGAAGATACTGATTGCTTTGCTATGCGCTTAGCGTGGTGATACGATAAAAAGGAGAAAATAGAGGAGGGTGTTGCGGAGGGTGAGGCGGAGGTAAAGTGCGGGGAGAGGGTTAGTTGATATGTTCTATTCGGGACTGTTGCATGAGAGCCCCGTGCGTCGGGCCCACGATATTCCGTGCTGGACATCGCACACAAATATCGCCTGGCCTGCCCCTCCCTCGAAAAGAACATCGCCGTTTCGAGGGAGAGCCGGGCTCTCTCCGCGACGGCTTCTTCCCGCCCACCGCGGAACCCCCCTCATGTATATACCACGTATGCTCCCGCATAGCTATTTTCCTCCTAGAATATACGGAGTGCCACGGGCCCGCCTGCAGCCCTCACGGCGCCGTAGCCCTCCGTCAACGAGGTCTACATCGCCAGTGTTCAGACCGCAGGTGCCCCGTGCGGGCCGAAATATCTCATCCGTCTCTATCTGGGCCAGTGTAGCAATGGTTGGAATAGAAGTACTATCTTTAGTTAGTACTACTAACCCAACCACGAAGAGGGACGAGAATACAATAAATTATAGGTTTAGTATAGTCCGGTAAGCACTCCTTAGCCCATCCATAGTAGGGGGAGAAATAGTATGTGTAATAGCAATACTAACGTATTGTCATAATAGCTGTAACGGGCCGAAGCCCGATAGGGATCAAGTGCTCCCACGTGACCCACACCCCTTTTGTTTACTGATTTGGCGTCGCCTCATATTCTTTTCTCTAAGCTTTTGGATAACTGCAAACGGCCTAGCTAGATTGAATTTAAGTCTGGCTTTAGCCCTTCACACCGACTTTTCGATGACGGGAGTTCATGCTCCATATCCGTAATATATAGGTACTAATTGAAAGATGTGTTTTGGAAATGTACACTGCTTATCTCTCTTACTGATTGTGGTTTTCCTGTTGTAGAGTAGACGTGTGCCCTGGAGGCTTATTCGCTGGTACGCTCACGCCGCCATATCACCTGTCTCATCCTGGAGCGACACCCTAACACCCTGGAGACCTATCTCAAGAGTCAAGAACAGGCATCGGAGCAGCGACAAAGAGCCATTCAAGGCAGCTTTTGAATGGGCTATTTGCCACCAGAGTTCGCTTGGCTAGGCATATAACGACCTCGACTTCTCGAATATCCTAGTTGACGCTTCTAGCATGCCGGTCCTAATTGACTTTTGACTCATATCTTCGGCTTAGGCAGGAGTTGCCTAGGCGGAAGGAGATTCTGCCGGGAGGATTTAAGGGGCCTCTTTTGCTACCTCGTATCTTCTTCCTTTCTTTCCTCTCCTTAGCTTTAGTTGTTCCGTTGATGGTACAGCATCATCTTTTGCTTTCGACTGCTTAACACTCTCTTGAAAGAATCACTAGAAGCCCAGTCCCAGTACCCAACTCGAACATATTCGTTCAACTCTGCTTTGGTATGACCTTTCGATTAAGATGACGGACAAATGCCTAAAATCCACCTGCCATTGCGGCGCCATCACCGTGATCGTGCCTCATCATCCAGAGGAAATCAACGAATGTCAATGTACAATCTGTCGGCGCTATGCAGCCGCTTGGGCGTACTTCAAAGTGAACGAAATCAAATTTGACATGAAAAAAGGTGCCAAACTCTCTCAGTACATTTGGGGCGATGGAGAGATCTCGTTCAATTTCTGTGCGAATTGCGGATGCGTGTAAGTCTCGATCGACTCATCATTTGTGTATCTAGATCTCGATGGGTTGGCTGAACTTCTTTTGCTCTGGACATAGCTGCTATTGGTGGCCATTGGAAGAAAAGAAGCCAGACGGTGGTGCAGCTGACTTCGGCCTGAATACGAGGAACATGGATCCTATGGAAATCTTGCACATCAACCGCAAGATTGACAACGCCTACCTATTCCACCGACTCAACGACAAAACCATGGCGCATGAGCAGGATCAGGCTAAGTACTGAACTGTTTGTGTAGAAGAGTTGTTGCGATATCCGAAGTCTTCGACTTCTTCGTACTCTGACCCAAACCAATCAAAAGATGAATAGCTATCTACGCGCTTCGCAAGCTATAGTCCATCGTAAGGATGGGTTCGTCCTCGATATCCACAAACTATCCGACAAGGGCTAAATTCTCCATTCCATTAGGAATCACACCTACACCGTATTCGCCACCTGGCACCGACTCGGTTCCAGACTTCGGGCCAATCAGGAGGGTTCTGCCCGGGTGGGCGGTCGGAGGTCCGGGGGTCGGATCCAGAGAAATTTTGGATCCGGGTCCAATTCCTAAACGCAGGGTCGGATTTCCTTCAACTTTTGCACAGTTTATAGGCATATCGTAAATTTACTTAATATTAAAATTTAAAGTGAATCGAAGCATGGGAAGGTCGCTTCATGAAGGTGGTGTTCTAGGTTTCTCGAACTGCCCGTGGCGGAACAAAGTCCCTGCCTGTAACGTGCCACCATGTGGGGTTCCAAGATACAACCTCCCCGGCCGCCCGTGGGGGGGGGGGGATCTTATCGACGGTGAATATGCTGCCAGCGGCTAGCAAATCGCGCAGACCTGGGAGGTCCGAGCATCATCCGCCCTTTTTTGTACATACATGATCCTATCAGTACTGGGGGCCTCACTTAACGAGAGACCTGAGCTCCGTATTACTTGTCTAACCTAGTGCGGTATCCCGACAAAGCCCACGACAGAGAAACCCCCAAGCAAGTTTTCGAAGAAGTAATCGTAGCGAAATTCGTTCCAATTGGATAAAAGTGTCCGCTTTATATCTCACAGCACCGATATGGCAAGAACCAGCAGTCAGCGAACAGACAACTTTGGGCCCGGTGGATATGTATGCGAATATAAGCGCCTTTGTGCTGCAACGTCCATCAACCAGTCCTCTAAAATGCGATTTCAGGTGACGGTATAGCAATAGCACCATCAGCCACCAGCACCCCAGTCCCCGATATATCAATGCGAGCAGACAGCAAGTTTCTATGACGGCTCACTGCTAACTTCATCAAACTCTCTCCCGATTTTCAAACCTTGCACTACCTCAACGTAAACAGGCCCCGAACCTTCATTTTCGAATGCAGTTATCATCTCCCTGGCATTATGCCACAGATACGCCGCCAGAGGCCCTGCTGCGGACCCAGTAGCTGGATCCTCCATGGACATGCCTGGACTAAAGAACCGAGCTTCAAATCTAGGAACATCATTTTTGCCTTCAACAGTTGTAAAAGCGTAGACGCCACTATTGTGACTATCTGTGCTAGCAAGCTCTTAACCAATGCGTTCTTTCCTGCTGAACGTGATTCGATCGAGTACTTCTTTGCTGCGAATAGGAATCAAAAGATGTCGAGCTGGTGAAGTGGACACAACTCGCGCCTCATCAAGAATTGCGGTACCCGAACGACTTTGAAGACCGATATCCGCAACCGAAATCCCGAGGGCGTCAGCCAAAGATGCTTTATTGGCATGTCTGTTCAGAAGCTGCGGTTCCCCCTGGCGCATGGATATGTTGATGTCCCCAGGAGAGTATTTAGAGACTTTCACAGGCAAGACAGTCTCGCCGAGCTGTTGGTGGTAGGTACATGTAGCATGGTTTTGCTTTGTGTCACAAACTCCTGAATAGACAGCCCACCACCAGGCGCCGAGAGAGTTGTGGCCGGCTCCGAAGACCTCTTCCCCGTTGGGAAGAAATCCTCATTCGGCGATCGACTCGATCGAAAGAGTTCCGAAGGCTTCCTCTGCAAGTTATTCGGAGGCGCAATCGACTGGCGAGCAAGCAAGCAGCGTACGGTGACGACCTCCACGACGGAAGCGGAGTTTCTGGCCATGTCCGAAGCAGCAAAATCAGCGATCTTCTGGAAGCGCCTCCTCCAAGCAGTCAACCTCCGCTGGGATGACCACAGCAACCTCGAAATCCAGTGTGATAACGCCCAGACTGTTGATCTTCTCGTCAAGGAGACCCCACAGCTTCGTATGAAGCTCCGGCACGTCGATATTCACCGGCACTGGCTACGTCAAGAGGTTCAAGCTGGCACCATCGCCATCCGCTGGGTCCCCACCAAGGAGATGGCGGCGGACGGGCTAACGAAACTCATGCCGAGCCAGAACCATGCCAAATTCATGGAACTCGATTTGGTGGATATCAGGCACCTGATCGAATAGGTGGCCTAAATTCATCGAATTCAGTGCCCATTGTGGGATACACTGTGCACTGGGGGGGGGTGTGTCGAACGCAGAATTCCTAGCGCACAGCGGTTTATTCAACCACCGCAGGTTATTTCCTATTTCGGCATCAACTGCTGATTAAGCACACACAAAGCTTGTCAAATAAACCGTCCATCATAGATTTGAATATACACATCACATTATCCGGTCAATTTGCACCTTATTGGTCGACCACGGTAATGAGCGTACTGTATCCTCCGGAATCCACAGTAACCCGTCCATTCATAAAATTTCATAAAGGGAGAAGTTTTATTGGGGTTGCCTCGTGTTGGCCACGCTGTCTCACGTGACATCTACACCGACATTTCGGAGGGCTCCTTCTTCCTACAACTGCCTCTGAAGAGTCAGTTGCTTGCTTCTGGTGGTAGCTTGTCGTCTCTCACGCAGTCAAGACTCGATTTTGTCCCTCCCACCTCCCCTCTGTATATAGAAACCAGTATTGCAATATACAGACACATTGCCTCCCTACGAGGGAGCGCGGACGGGCCTTCTCTGACGCTACAGTCTAATGCGTTTACGCATAAGACCGCAGCGACAGGTGACCCGTTACGGCCAAACTGTACACGTTTTCTGTTCTCTTCTTGACTGCGAGAGGTCACCAATAAATTACCATTTATGAAACGGCCCGTTAGTGGTTTTATAAGGCAGCAACTTCCCAGGCTCAATTTGAGACCTTACGCCCATTGGAGTTATTCCACCAAAAGGAGAATGTCGTATAACAGTCTTCAATACTCAGGTCTGCTTGCCGAAATGGCCTCTAGCTCTGCCTTCTTTTGCCCCAAACTTGTTGATGCACCCACCATTCCAGGAATGCCTGGAATTGTTGGTCGGGATCATCTGCGTAATTGGCAGCCAGGTGAAGACAACCCGGGATGCTAATATTGGCATGTTACGAGACGTGTATTTCGAGTTGACGGGTTTACTTTATAACGATTGGTTGGATGCTGGATCATCCTATCCTGTTATTGGTAAAATATCACGGCTCAGGTCGACAATAAAGTTTGGGGTGAAACTGCCCAACTTCAAAAACACGAGCAATAGGATTTGTCATCATTAGAGTCAGGAGGTTCGTCAAAGGATGGCCATGCCGTAACTTCCGTCAGGTATTTATCCCCGGGCACTTCGTCTAGCAGAAGACAACAACTGGCTCTCACTGCACAGTGACTTCTTATATTGTTCCCTGTCCAGTGTCAAGATTATACAAGGATCAATACTTCTGATGTCCACTCTTCGATATCACATCATCGATGTCTTTTCTTCTACGGCCTATAAAGGCAACCCACTGGCCGTAGTGGACGACACCTCTAATCGCCTCAGCATCCCGCAGATGCAGCTGATAGCGCGCCAATTCAACTTATCTGAGACGACCTTTGTTTGCCCACCAACAGACGCTAATGCCGTGCTGCGGCTGCGGCCAAACTGGTGTTTGCTCGAACGCAAGATGTGGGCACTGGAATAATGAGCACAATAGCTATAAATGCAAGGAAACGAACTGTCGCAAGAGGTGGAAGGTCTGCCAGACCGGCGATCACGGTGTTTCCGGGAAATATGCTCTCTGTGCTAAGTGTCCCGATCACCCAGCGGGCGGCCCAGACGGCTTCAATGCGTACATCAATCTCACGGCCTGACTGGGTACAATGGGGTCATTCCATATTGTCAAGCCAACACTTAACGCGTTTCACTTTTGGACACCAATTCATTCCCACGTCTGATCCAGTATCATCAATCTCATCTTCATCCGTGCCTTCTAAATCAATCCAAGGATGCTGATAAATTGCTCTTTCACTGAGAGGGTACCCGTTTGGCCTTAGCCATTCGAAAATCCCACGTGTTGCTCCTTCAGAGAGTGATTGGGAGAAGAGGTCATATTTCTGCTCTTTGTAGACGACTGATGTCTCTTTAAATGCAGGACGTGGTGTTTCAATGAGAAGTGGAGAATTTGAGCCTCCCAAAAATTGGATGGAACGGCCGTTTGTCAGAATCCACTCCCAATATTCGTATTCTAGGCAATGCCCAGCACATCTAGCATGTTCTTGGACTGGCAATTCCGCATCACGGAGCTTTGTTGTCCCGAAGGGCTTCCAAGGCCATATTGGAGGTCGATCGTGGCCTTCACATGCTATGATGAACAGCAGCCGACATTCGTCCTCGCGACGTATTGATTCATTACTGACTTCTCGGATTGGAGAGGTCAAGAAGGTCTGTTGCGTCCCAGTCCAGACAGAAGCAGGAAGATCCAGAGCCGCCATTCCAGCCCGAGCATCACGCAAGATAGATGGCGCTAGATCCGTAAGTACTGCACCGAGCCAAAGAACACCAAGTTGAGGGCACCGACTAGCAAGTATAGCAGCCAACGACCATGTCCTTGGGGATATTGTATTGAGAATCACAAATGCAGGGTTCAACCACGCACTAACGAGGTTACACTCAATATCAGGGTTGAAAAAAGTGCTGAGCATAATAGAGCGTAAACCCCATATATTAGAGCTCAACGTCAGATACTTGGGAAGTAGTTCCCCATGCTTCTTCATAAGATCTGGGATAGAGGTAGAAGCGTCATCAAGACGGCCGTTGAATTCAAGTTGGGCGACTTGCTTTGGGAACGGGAGAGTAATTTACTGTCCCTCAAAAATGGGATGAAAAGTACTCCAGCTAGGGCAACTGAGCACTGTGCATAGAGACGATGGTGCAGACAGAAACGAGAGAGGTATTGAAGAGCAGTCAATGCTGACGGTGGCTCCGATTTGGCGTATATATAGGCTGTTCGGGACGGAGTCAACCCTGCCGTCCTTACCGATATTGACCATGGAGACAAATAGACACGCCCATTGTACTTAGTCGTCGCACTCCAGCCTTGGGTAGAGCACAGAATAGCCCGCCACCAGAGGGCCTCATCTTCACTGGCACATCTGCCAAGATCAATTTCAATAGTTGATCCTCCATCTGACCGTGCCGAATTTTGTAACCCCTGCATCGAGTAGTCCATATGACATTCGTGGTCCGCAGAGCGACTGAGCGACTCGACCCATTGAGCAGACAGAATATATGTCCACGCCAGATAAAGAATCGATAGATAATTGCGTTTGTCAAAACCTTGGAGTCCTTCTACTTCGGGCCAATCCGAAAGAGGAGAATCATGTGTCAACCTCACACTTAGCCGACTACCAACTGCCAAAACAAGTTGTTTCGGCAGAACCCTCGGTCGGAGGTTACAAAGCCCATTCGAAGTCCTCCATGTCGAGCGACAATTGACAACAAGACTGTCTTTCCCATGTGCTGATTGTTTTTCCTCGCAAGCGAACGAGAAGGTTTCATCAGGAGCAATGGTATCTCCAAGGAAAGGTGGCGCGCGACTGACAAGATTGTGCAGATTTATCGCTTGCCTAGGCAAACTGCCGCCTTCGCGGCCAGTATCGAGATAAGAGGACCATTTGTCGAGGCTTTCGTGAAGGATCTGATTGAATTCATCATCCCTTGGGCGCACCGCGTCACACATTCTCACACACCGGGTGGAAGGAGGCAAAGTTGTATAATTTTTTCTGAGGCCGCAGCTAAATTTAGCGTGGCTGCTAAGTTATAGCTCAGTAACAGCGACCTGTTATTTAGGAAATCGATGAAGAAAGGTGTTGCTGAATGTGAGCAGTGTTTATAAAAGAATGTCAACTTCCGTATAGTATCCGACCAATTGGAGATATCAATGACTCTGTATTTCCATTACCCCTATTCACGCTTTTTATGGTCCAATTTAGTTACATAAGCAATGCCGTCGGATCATCCATAGACCCGGTTTCATGCAGTATTCGTAAGGTAATGCCGACATAAATGCGATGGCACGTGACTAGTCTGGGTTTTCGTCCGAGTTTCTATTGGCTGAGAGTATTCACGTTTCCCACCATCAAATTTCAATAATATGTAAAAATAAAAAATGCTTTGGAATCTGGAGCATGTGAGCTTTCTATCCATATCGGAAATTATTTCCATCCGGACGTTTTGGTGGTATGGTCACCTGCCATAATTGCCCATTGGAATGTTGTAAATATTGTCTCTACCCTCCATTACTAAGGCATATGACCTAAGGACTAGATCGTGACTGGGTACAAGGACGTCGATTCAGACTTATCGACAAGGAAACGATACGGTCCACCTCAAGTCAGGTGCGCAGTCCACCGCTATAAAAGCTTTGACCAAGGCGATGGAAGTGCTTGATGATAACCGCCACGAATACTAACTCTTGCGAGGGAACAGGGTATTGGGTTTGTAGGTATTTCTGAGAGCCCAAGTTCTCACAGCGAAAGAGGACCTGGAGAAGGGAGAGCACCCGGTTGCAGACTCTCTGCCGGACCCAGGGACTAGCGCCAGGGCTGGCTTGTAAGGTCCAAGTGGCTGCAGTCTGTGGCCCTGTACGGCGCGGAACTCTGGTGGGCGGCCAAAAGGATCGACTAGCTGGGATGCAGCTCATGATCAACCGGTAAGATCGTGCCGTCAAAGGAATGCTACTATTAGGAGGCAGTGGTCTGAAGGTGGCCTAGCCGGGTACCGGAAGACACAGCCTCAAAAACCGTCTATCATGGCGTTACGGTTCGGTATGGACAATAAATTTGATTAATAATAACGTTCAAGTAAATCTGCCGATAGATTCTCTCACGTCTAATCTCTTACCAACCTTAACGTGAGGATCAAGTGTTATCTGCTTTTGAAAAACAACGACGACATCCGACCCACCGAACTGAAAGCAAGAAATATTCTGACCTTTATTAACATAGTCACCCATTTTAACACGTAGTATAACTGAAGAAACTTGTGCCATTCCTACAGGTAGTACTGCGACTTTCCCGTGGTTTTTGGTCTGGATGATAATAATCCCTCTTGTTTGACACCACTGGTATCCTGGCTCGTTTGGGGCTTCAAGGTGGGCTTCAAGGCCTGGCGCCCTTGGATTGTTTGGTAATTGATCTTCTGGTGGACAGAAAGCCATTCCTGGAAAACGAATATTTCCAATTTCACGTTTCTCCACCTGAAAGAAAACTTGGTTTTGAATTATCTTGGCCTCTATCACAGTGCCGCTCACAGGGGCGTGTTGACGGTGGTAAAATGACGGTGCAAGAAAAGAATGAATAAAATGGCCATGTGACCAAGAAAAATCCGTCGTTTGTAGCAAAGTACTGATAGGCCAGTCCAATTTAACGCCTTTCAACTTGAAAGAGACGTTTCCATCGATAATCGGCCATATTCCTTGGAACACCGCATCTGCAGTGCTAACGATGATATCAGGATCTCCCGGTGCAGCAAGAGGGCGAGCTGTATCAATGTCCTTCCAACATCGTGCAAACCAATGATTGAATGACTTCCAGCCTCCTATCGGGCTCCGCCATAGGTGTGCACTTTCTTTGTAGGATTCGTTGCGGTAGAATGTATCAATTGCAGTAGCTGACTGTGGCGTGTCCAAGAATTGTCCCTGTTCGCGAGCGAACCGTACCATCCAACGGGATAGCCATGATAGATCGACGTTTGCATTCTTTGGAATGATTGGAGTCTGGAAGCGTCTGATGGTAGGTTGATTCAGGACCCAGTAGAATACAAGAATTTTCCTGAGTAGTTCGTCGCCTTTTGTTGATACCTTGGGAACCCATCGTAGTAGCTCATCGCAGAAGCGGATGTAATCATCCAAGCTCTCAATCTGTTCCCTCCCCATTTCTCTACTCCCCACCATTGGCGGGAGCTTTGGCGCTATCGATGGCCTCGTGGAACATGCTGACTCGTTTTGTATCGCGGGATATCCAAACTTTGAAGTCACGGACGAGAAGATGCTGGGGCTCATACTGAGGGAAATTCATATTTGCTCTTGCATGAACAGGCTCACAGAGACTTTCCCGGGGATTTAGATTTTTTTTGGCTGACTATTGGGCCTAAATAAAATGGTTTGTACGTCCGACTGCGAAATGTATTGGTTCTCAGATTTGTGGGCGTCTCTGCAAGATCACTCCAAATCTCCACTGGCGGTCGGCTAGGTGCCAATGGCAGATCCCACACGTACCCTGCACCTGAAGCAACTAAAAGAACCGGACCATCTCATCAGTCTAGCATGTGTGGGGCTGCATCGAGACTACAGGTTTTAGTTCACGTGTAAAGAACTCAGAGATGCCCTTGCGGCATATTCCAAATTTGTCACACCGCCTCTTTCTTGGCAAACTTCCTGAATTCATAATCATATGCTTAATCATATGCTTGATAAACTGGCGCTCTCAAACATAATTTGGCTTTTTACTTTCACTTACTGCAATGCTTCTTGCTCTTAGTATCAGGCTGTCGTGCTCTACACTACAAGACTACTACCGGTTTGGGATAAATGTCATCTCAGATGGACTCTGACGAGCCACTCGCAAAGTGGAAGAGCTTTCTCTCAAAAAATCCAAAGATTGAGTTTGTCTTGCTGCAGATTCTGTCTTACACTGCGATTAAGTATACACGGGTTGTTCCTGTGGGGAAATTCACGCAGATGGTGGAAGCAGGGTCATGTTTTTCCGTGCCGCTTGCCGTCTTTTCTCTGTCCCCTGAAGACCACCTCGTGGAAGGAGCAAACCCTTGTGGGAGCTTTTTTCTATGTCCAGATTTACGAACATCTTATTGCCAAGCAGGCTCAGATGGAGTTCGCGCTGTGATACAATGCAATTGTATGGATCGGAATATGACCCCTCTGGAGTTGTGCCCACGGTCACAGCTGCAGCGTCTCCAGGAGATGTTGGAATTTGAAAAAGAGCTTACGGTTTTGGTGGGATTTGAGATCGAAGTTATTTTCCTGAGAATGGAAAATGAGTCACTCATACCTCTAAGTGACAATCACTCATGGTCATGCATAACAAGACAAAACATAGCTGATCTGGGCCTCATGGAGAATATTGCTCGAATGCTGCTGGATTTGGGAATTGCCCTAGAGCATTTCCACTGTGAATCAGCACCCGGACAATGGGAGTTTGTTCTCCCGCCAGCCACACCTGTCCAAGCTGTCGATACCCTCCTAAAAGCACGTGATACTATTCTTGCGGTGGCACGATCTTTTGGCGTGCTTGCGACACTCCATCCACGAGTATCCAAAGATCATTCCGGCACAGGTGCACATGTTCATATTTCTATCAATCCAATTGGAAACTGCAGCATGGCAAGATCGGAAACCTTTTTTGCGGGCATAATAGACCATATGCCATCGATTCTGGCTTTCACACTTCCTCAGGAGGTGAGCTACGAGCGTGTTCAGGCTGGGCTCTGGAGTGGCGGCGAATATGCCTGCTGGGGGTGGGAAAACAAGGACACACCGATGCGCCGTGTTGCTGAAAACCACTTTGAGTTCAAACTCATGGATGGACTTGCAAACCCGTATCTTGCTTTAACTGCGCTGCTTTCCAGCGGTCTGGATGGTCTTTCAAATAACACGCATCTTACGGCCGGCAATTGCGATAAGGCACCCACGGATATGACTCTGGAAGAAAGAGTTGTTGTCGGAGTGGAAACGTTGCTACCTAAGACGATCGAGGACAGTCTAGCTGCATTGGGGAGAAATGAAAGACTTGCGGGGTTTATTGGAGAAACATTGGTGTCTCAATACGCGGCAGTAAAGCGGTCCGAGGCTCAATTTCTCTTGAAGATGCCTGTGGAGGAAAGAAGACGATGGTTGATCTCCAAATACTGAGGTTCTCATCTTCACTTAAACCTGACAACTTCTCAATTGTAATCAATTAATGCTGAAGCTCCTTAGGAAAGTTAAATTCATTCTTGAATTTTCAATTTTGGTCTGAGCTGCGGTTTTCGATGCCAAATGATGATGGGAACAACGGGGAAATGGATTTGCTGGCCCAGGGTTTCTTACCAGGGCCACACCGTCGACCGTTCGCGGGATATTGAAGTAAATCCAAGGAAGAGGTCTCGACCATCAAGAACCAATTGAACTAGCAAACATAGAAAGAACTGCAACAGACCTCAAATCTCATTGGTCTTTATGACCGAAGCCGGTCTTTGATGGGTTAGAACACTTTTGAAAGCATGGGTTAGAATACCGGAAGGTTTGGGAGTATTAAGGAGATACATGGACCCCAAGATAGATGTGAGCCTGCAATCAAATGTTTTGATAGAATGGTTCTCTATCGAGTGGCAGAGACGGCTCTCAACTGCTTCGAGTGACGGGCTTCTGGCTGTGCGCTCTGGGTGCTCAAGAACGCAAAGGGGCATTTATTGGCCGTTGATGGGTGGCTAGATTGGTCCAAGTCCACCAATGTCATATACTTGATTTGGACGGCTAGGATGTCCCTGGATGGTGTTCCGAAAGGAACTAGTTCTGCTTTCAGGTGTGGGTGTTTTATTACATAGGTGAGGTCTCGGGGCCTATCTGGCTGTAATCGTACCACCTATCCGTACCTTGCTTTACGTTTAACAAGTTAACTTATAACCATAGTAGACATGTAGGTATATGGTGTAGTGGGGCGGATAGCTAGTTCTAGAATACACCTTCTTACACCTCCCCGACCTGACCCCTACATTTGGGATTCTCGCTATTTCCTGATTGCTGCGCGTGTGTTTTGTGGTGGTTTTTCTGCTGAATCGACCCGCACGTCTCAGCGCGTGCTGCAATCGAGCGTTTCCCTCTTCAATATATATACCTCAAAGACGGGGATACACATCTATACTCTAAATGTGGTCATTCGGTGTGGTGAAGCTTAGGTCTGGTACGATCGTTCGACCGGAGTGTGGATTATTCTCCAACTGCATCATATAGCAATTCTTGTCCGAATGAATCGTGAATAGTCTATGACTGTGCCTGGCAGGGTCGCTGCGGTCGGCGGTCGCGAATTTCGCGAATGTGATGGGGGTGTGGGTCTTCCGGGCACGCACCGCCGGGACCGGGAGCACGCACTCTGGACCGATGGGAGCGCGGATAAATCAAGAGGGCCTTGTCTTTTTATGGCATTATGGATTAGACCACAGAGTGCTAGAGGCCATTTTCGGCACGCACGCTTGGACATCGAACACTCCGGCATGCGGGAGCATTTGCAGTAAGACATGGTAGGGAAACAATGACATAATTCATATGCTGTCCTAGCTAAGATGATGGCAGTTCCCCGAAAGCAGATCCTGAAGGGAGTCCCCAACCAAGACCCAAGTCTTAACAAGATTTCGAAATTCCTAGGGGAAGGTCTCCACTAACTATTTTGCAAAGAGGACAATACGTTCTTGCACACTGCTGGCGCACGGTCCCTAGAGCAGTTCTAAGAACCGCAAGGCTGGTTGAGCAAGACGCTCACAGTACCGTCGACGTAATTCGCAGCCACAATGTCGAGACGGTCATCTCCATTAAAATCACCCACCACAACACCGTTAGGTTCGTTCCCCCCAACTTCGAATGTGGTCTGCGCCTGGAAGCTTCCCGATCCAGTCCCGAGCAAGATGCTCGCTGTACCACTACCGTGGTTGGTAGTCACGATATCGAGATAGCCATCTCCGTTGAAGTCGCCCACCGCAACACCGTATGGCTTGTTCCCTACATCGAATGTGGTCTGCGCCTGGAAGCTCCCCGATCCAGTTCCGAGCAAGACGCTCACTGTCCCGTCAACGTAATTTGTAGCCACGATATCGAGATAGCTATCTCCGTTGAAGTCGCCCACCGCAACACCGTACGGTTCGCCCCCTACTTCGAATGTGGCCTGCGTCTGGAAACTTCCCGATCCAGTCCCGAGTAAGACACTCACTATAGAATTGTGGGTATCTGTAGCCACGATATCGAGATAGCCATCTCCGTTGAAGTCACCCACCGCAATACCAGTCGGACCAGACCCTACATCGAATATGGCCTGCGTCTGGAAGCTCCCCGATCCAGTTCCGAGCAAGACGCTCACCGTAGTGCCACCGGAATTCGTAGCCACGATATCGAGATAGCCATCTCCATTGAAGTCGCCCACTGCAACACCAGTTGGACCAGATCCCGTGTCAAATGTGGACTGTGCCTGGAAGCTTCCCGATCCAGTCCCGAGCAAGACGCTCACTGTATTGCTGATATAATTCGTAGCCACGACATCGAGATAGCCATCTCCATTGAAATCGCCCACTGCAACACCAGTTGGACCAGATCCCGTGTTGAATGTGGACTGTGCCTGGAAGCTTCCCGATCCAGTCCCGAGCAGGACGCTCACTGTATTGCTGATATAATTTGTAGCCACGATATCGAGATAGCTATCCCCGTTAAAATCGCCAACTGCAACACCAGCCGGATAGGATCCCACGTCAAATGCTGCTTGTGCCTGGAAGCTCGCGCATAGCATGCAGGCGCCTGATAAGCAAGTCGACCCAGCAGGGCACTATCAGGGCGTGAGAATTGATAACAGTTATTATAATACCACCCCAAACTTACCACGTTGCCGCAACCCCCGCAATTATTGCTGTCATTATTAGTTTCAGTGCAAGAACCAGAGCATAGCTGTTCGCTCGCGCTAGTCTTGTGAGGTCCACATATATAACAAGGTCCGGTTCTCCTTGCTGCAAGCGATATGCATGACCCTGGGTTTGGGAAGTTCTGCGTGCACCACTGAATACACGGCCCAATCTGAGCCGAGCTCGTAGTCACTGCTTGTAGGATATATTAGCGTGAGTACATGTTGACCTTGCAGGTGAAGGCATACCCAAGGACGCTATAATAAAAAGGGCGACCACGATTTGAGACATAGGATATGTTGCCTGATGGATCAGTTAATGTTACGTGTATGGGATAGGTCGCCAAAATTGTTACATGAAAAATATTGATAGTGCAAGAACAAATACCTGGGGGAGTTAGTAGCTTTTATTTCGATTGAAGTCTTGTGCACGTGTTGTAGGTACGGTGGCGTACAACTTGGCAATTGTCCACCGCATCTAATTGTCTACCGCATCTAGAAGCCAACAAATAATAAGCGTGTTTGGTCACGAGGGTTCGTATTCAACGAAACTCAGATTAGGAATATTGTTACACGGCATGTCTGATAGTCATGTGCATTTGCATCGCATATGTCCCTAGTATGGTTGCATATAACTCGACAATGTCTCCAGCACCTGAAAGCCAAAAACGAATTGTCGCAACCTAGGGTGTAGTGGATATATGCTTCAACCAATGGAATCGCAAAAGAGAGTCTGAATTGCTGTGTAGCCCCTATCCGGCAATTTATGGGGTAAGCTGACTAATACAAAACAATCGGCAATTTAGATAATCCACCTCCGTCCGAGGGGAATTGATAGGGACAGCACAGCTTTTGTTCGGGACAGCACAACTTATGTAATAATTGGGATTTCGTAATGTAACATGTCATGTCATTGTATCTGAATTTCAGTATATTTATTTACAGGATCTTCGTGTATGACCTACTTTTCCACATACACTGCACTTTGACGGCGCCTTCTTTCGCTTCTGCGTAGGCTCGGCCTCATTGTTTTGCTCTAATTGATCTATCTTTCGTTTCTTAGGCCTCGGAAGGGGAACCACAGGCTCTAAGAGTGGGAGATATTCTAATTGAGTATCACAAAGGCCAGTCTTCCAAAACGGGTGGATATCAGTCAGTGGAATAGCTTTATTACTCTCCAGTAGACTAGAAATCCGGTGTGCACAAGGAAGGCCCATTGTCCTGGTGAATGTTTTCGTACACGGAGGTAAAGGGGCAAGATCCGTAGCTCTTTTAGCCTTCACAACTTGCTCACTAATTCGTCGAATCGAATACCGAGAAGTCCTAGTCATAATATTAGTATAAAGTTCCTGTGATGGCACTACTAGCCTTTCAATTTGGTCTCTTGCAAGGTCATATTCAAGTGTCGTATGTTGGGCTTGTAAAGCCTGTGAAATCCTTTCAAATACAAGTAACATATCTCCAGTTGAAGCTCCTATATGCTTCTTTAAGAAGGCATGTGAGCCTTCAACTCGGGATGTAGCCGAATTACCTAGATGAAGGCACTGCCGGGTCCATGCAACTATGAACTTCTCCTTATAAATTAGCCATGTTTCTTTGATATATCGAATAGGGGGTGGGGGATATCGCTTTTCGAAGGCTTGTAGCCTTAGATTATACTCCTCTTTAGTAGTTGAATAGACTAGTTGATTCCACGACTTTAGAAATTCTTGATGCTCATCGTTTGTGGTAAAGTGCTGCTTCGTATTTTGTGTCACATTCTTATTGATATGCCATATACAAAGTAAATGCGGATATTGGCAGCAGACGACCTTAATTGCACCTAGTAAAGCAAGATCTCTATCAGTACAAAGGACCGGGTTAAAGGGTAAAGGGTTAATAAATGTGAAAAAGGTCCTTAATGCCCAGATATAGCTTTCTTCCTGTTCATTCTGCATAAAACAGAAAGCAATACTAAACGTCGAGTTTGATGGCGATATACCAATAATATGTAATAGAGGCATCTTATATCGGTTTGTCTTATAAGTGCAATCTAGCACAAAAACTCTATTATATTGGTTAGCATATTTAATTGACTCTGGGTGTGCAAACATAAAGAAAAGGATATGACCTTCACTGTCTTGCTTAATAGCGTATTTCCAAGAGCTTTCCTGTAGAGTCTTTAGTAGATATCCAAGAGGAGTGTTATCACCTAGCTTCTGTCTTCGTAAGGCACTTCGTGCATTATAGATATCCCTAGGGGTAACTAGGGTATTTGGATGCTCTCTCTTAATTAGAGCAAGGATATCACGAGGCTTTGATCCCACCTCAGACATATGAAGGATATTTTGAAGCTGCTCCTCTGTAAATTTGCGAGCAGATGGATGGGCTATCATACTATTATCAGCTTGATGATTGTGACTTGGGTTTCGTACCTTTAATTCCCACTTCTCGCTATTAGGAATCCTCTTCCCATATAGCTTGAATGGACAACCAATCCGTCGTGAAGTTGTCAACCGTCGATTTGCCCCTTCTGCCGCATTCACCCGATCATAGTATTTGCCACCACGATCACAACCTAGAGAGACATTTCGATTTGCATTTGCTCCTGTAGTGACGATAGCGTAGCCTTGGGAGAGAGCATGCTGACGCACAGAGGCTATTAGTAGCTCTCTACTATCAAAGATCTGCTCAGTAGGAGGCTCCATATTTGAAAATCCAAGAGGTAGAGGATTGAAGAGAATAGAGGATTGAAGAGAATAGAGGAAGGGGAAGGACTAGTGATTTATACTGTACAATGGTATGGTATTTTGGAATGATGTTGCTATGGTAATTCAGATACAATGACATGACATGTTACATTACGAAATCCCAATTATTACATAAGTTGTGCTGTCCCTAACGTGATAACGTATTGCCCGAGCGACCGAATTGACCGAGCGGCCCCACTAAAAACCCATCTCAAAAAATAACATATCTTGTTTACCACAATAATCATGCCCCCCCAACGGTCTGATCGAAAAAGAAAATTAATAGAGCAGGAGGGCCGTCTTTTATTAGCTATTAAAGCTATAAAAGATGGTAAATATCCCTCTGCTGCAGCTGCTGCGCGGTCTTTTGATTTACCAGTCTCAACTTTGAAGGCCCGCCTTAATGGGCGTGAAGCTGCTTCTGAAAAACGACACAATCGCTTTATTTTCTCTGAAATTGAAGAGCAATCGATTGAAAAATGGCTATTGGATATGGATACCAGAGGTGCTGCTCTTACACTGCCTATGTTGAGAGATATGGCCAATTTACTCCTTCATGCCCAAAAAACAACCCCCTCTACTGTTGGTAGAGATTGGGCATCTCACTTTGTCAAACGACATCCAAATTTGTCCACACGATTATCTCGAAAATACGACTATCAGAGGGCTCTTTCAGAGGACCCTCGAATTATCAAACCATGGTTTGATTTGGTCCAAAATACCGTTGAAAAGTGGGGTATCACTTCGGATGATATTTTCAACTTTGATGAGTCTGGTTTTGCTATGGGAGTTGGTACCACACAAAGGATTATTACCTCAGCCAATACCATGGAAAAAGAGCTCTCTTACAAGCTGGAAATCGCGAGTGGGTGACTTCAATTGAGTGTATTAGAGCTGATGGAAGTGCTCATCCTCCACTCTTCGTTTTTAAGGGGAAATTCTTTCCTGAACATCTACGCATCCCCCTTGATTCAAATCAACCTGGATCTCGTCTGACTGTAAGCAAAAATGGCTGGACTACCAATGAAATTGGTTTATGGTGGTTGAAATCTCATTTTATCCCAAATATTGGGAAAAGAGTGGGAAAATACTGCCTCTTAGTCCTTGATGGTCATGGGAGTCATTTAACCCCTGAATTTGATCGAATTTGTGAAGAAAATGATATCATCGCGATCTGTATGCCTCCTCATGCCTCTCATCTTTTACAACCTTTAGATGTGGGTTGTTTTTCGGTTTTGAAGAGGCTTTATGGAGGAGCGGTTTCAACCATGATGCGGAATGGAGTCAATTCTATTGATAAGGAAGATTTCCTTGAATTGATTGCAGATGCAAGAAAGGGAGCTTTTAAGACCTCTAATATCCAGAATAGCTTTTCTGCTACTGGATTAGCACCATTTGATGCTAATAGAGTCTTGGAAAAGCTTAATGTATGCCTGGATGAACTTCCTCCTCTTGAGATCCTTCCTACACGACCACCCTCTTCTGGCAGTGATAGTGATCCAAATACTCTCTGGACTCTCTCAAAATTCTCAAAATCGCAATCTCGGATCAAAAAAGGTCTAGAATCTTCTTCTTCAATCCTTTCTTCACCAACCAAACGGGAGATTGAGAGGAACTATGAAATGACCATAAAAGTGGTCCATCATCATATTTTTCTTCAGAATCGCTGCGACCAATTGGAGGCTTCTAATAAGAAACAGATCAAAAAACGAACAATCAAGCATAAGTTTACTAGCCAGAGGGGCATTTTCGGGAGTCGGGAGGATGGTCAGGATGATGTGGTTGTTGAGGATGATGGTGATAGTGAAGATATATCTTTGCTAGATGTACCTGGAGAACCACCTGCAGAACCTGCTTTACCTTCCATGCCTATGGTTAGGCGGCAGGTCACCTGCTCTGGATGTGGGATTAAAGGCCATACTTATGTTAAATGCCCTACACGTATTAAATAACAAAATTTGAGTTATTTTTGTGGTATTAGTCGTGGTGAAAAATTGAAGGTTTTTTGATTTTTGGTGGGGTCGCTCGGTCAATTCGGTCGCTCGGGCAATACGTTATCACGTTAACGTGATTCCCGGCTAGCCGGTCATCCCGGCTACGCGGTCACCCCATCAAAAATTCAAAAATTGTAAAATCTTCAACAACGATTTTAATACCCAAAAA